ATAACTAAAAATAAAATATTAAAAGTAGTTTATAAAGCCTAAAAAAACCTATAACTTATAAAATAATATTAATTCTAGTTAATTAGTAACAGTCTAGCTGTGGTTTAAATTAATAAATATTTTTTTTTTAATAATAAAGCCTAAAAACTTTACCTTCTTTTTATAAAAACTATATTTTAATAATTTTATATATAAGTTATGCCTTTTTAATTAATTAAGAACTTTTTAAACATAGTATATATATTTTTTTTTTATTTCCAAGAAAATAAGAATATTATTAAAATAAATAATATAAAACTTGTTAAAAATCCTATTTATAACTATATTTATATAGGATTAAAACATAGCTAGTGTATTTATTAAGCTAAAAGATATAATTATATACTTATAATAACTATAATAGGTCTAAAATACTATTTTTTATTTATCTTCCCTTTTAATTTATATTTTATAATATATGTTATATAAATCTAGCTTGGTAAAATATCTTATATTTACTAGTTAATTTATTAGCTTGTTAATATATAGTAGTAAATAATAATTTTTATTAGTTATTATATTTAAACCGCGGTAGTTAATATAAAAATATAAAAATTTATTAAGTTTTTAAATAAAAAGTACTAGCGCTCTGGTACTACTTTAAAATAATTTAATTTATTTTTTTTTAAGTATTTTATTAAAATACTTTTTTAATATTTATAATTTATACTAAAAAAAATTATAAATAAGACCTTATAAAGGCTTCTTGCCCTTTTTTAATAAAATTTTATACTTTATTTTATTAGTTAAAAGTTAAATAACTTTTTACTTAAAAAAAACTTTACTTTAATAAATATACTAGGGTGGCAGAACCACCTTTACTCCCCTTTTAGTTTTTTTTAATTAATAAAGTATTATAAGTACTAGTTTTTTGCGTATAATTTTTATAAACTTTTATAATATTTTAATTTTAATAAAAGGTATATAGTTTTGCTAAGTCTATTTTACTATAATAAGGTAAAGGTTTAAATTTAATTTAATTATTTAGGGATATCCTAGGACTGCCTAATAGTTTTTATAAATAAAATTAATAATATAATATACTAAGTTAAATATTTTTATAACTTTTTTTAAATTATAAACCTAAGTACAAGCTTATAAACACCTATAGTAAAAAGTAAAGGTGTTATTAATATATTAAACTAGTTATATTATATAATTAATATTTATTTTAATACCTTACTTTTATAAATATTAAATTAAAATAAAATTAATATTAGCCCTAGTATTAAGTAGTGCCTTAAATTATTAATTTACCTTATTTTTTTATATTTTAAAATCCGCAAGAATAGGAAAAGTAGTCTTTTTTTTTAAATTATATAACTTTAATAACTTAGGGCTAGGGAATTATTATTTATTTTTTATTAATTTTTTTTTAGGTTTTTTTTTATTTAAATAAGCCTTTAATAAGTGGCCTAATTTACTATAATTAAAATAAAGGCCTTTTTTTTGCAGTGCTTTTTTTTTT